GCTTCATTAAGGATTTAGCTACATGGGGGGGGGGCGTATCCTGGACCCTGAAGGGAAGAAACAATTGCTCTTCCAACCCATTCTGGGTGACTCTAGGTGACTAGGGAATTGGGCATTGGAGTGCCAGGGACCTCATGACAAGCAGTAATCTTGTAAAGTACCACATAAGAAACAATACACCTGTTTCTGGCTTGGCAGGAACTCCAGCAACTTGTCTAGAAGATGCAGTGTGTGAATGTGTTTAATTGATGGAAGGGACAGTGTTTGGATAAGTTTAGTTGACTTAGGGGACAGTGTTTGGCATGCTTGGTTGGCCCAGGGGACAGTGTTCGGGTGTGTTTACTTGACCCAGGAGATGTTGTGTTACATCTCCCAGGCTGGTTTGATCTACTCTACTCTGGGCAAGTGTTGTGAATACAGTGTGTCAGAAATGTAGCTTAGCAAGCTTGTGTCTTTCCACAATGTCAGAATGTATCAAATAACAGTATATTCACAAGCTACTTTGGTTTGCTTTTAATGTCCTTTGATGGCCTGGCTGTTGGCAAGCAAGGTTTATCTTCTTTAGTCTTAGGTAACAACTCTGAGTTTCAGGTTACATGTCACAAGGTGTGTGTGTGTGTGTGTGTGTGTGTGTTCATTACACGCAGATATGTAAGTGACCAAATGGCTACAAAATATTTAAAGAAGCTGCAGAGTTCAAAAGTCTTTACTTGAGACAGAAGATACAGAGTCTGCATTTGGTTACATAAGAATCAACAAATACTGGCGGGGAAATGGCTCAGGAGTTAAAGAAACTGGCTGCTTTTTCAGAGGTCTGGATTCAGTTCCTAGATCCCAAAGAGGCTCACAACCATCCATAATTCCAGTTCCAGAGGATCTGATGCCATCTTCTGGCTTCTGAGAGCACAAGGTTGCAAGTGTTCCATAAATATATGTACAAACAAAACACCCATACATATGAAATCTTTTTTTCTTTGTTTTTGTTTTTCAAGATAGGATTTCTCTGTGTATCAGCCTGGCTGTCCGGGAACTCATTTTGTAAACCAGGCAGGCCTCAAACTCACAAATATCTGCCTCTGCTGGGATTAAAGACATTTGCCCTTTTTGCTCTTTTGAAGCAGAGTCTCGGTGTAGTCCTGGCTGTCCTGGAACTCTATGTAACCCACGCTGGCCTCAAACCCACATAGATCTGTTTTCCTACTTCTGCCTTCTAAGTGCTGGGATAAAGGCATGTGCCACCATGCCCAGCAAAATAAATATTTTCAAAATGAGACCTTTTTATTTTTATTTTTTGAGATAAGGTCTATGTAGCCCTGGCTATTATGGGCCTCATTATGTAGACCCAACTGGCCTTGAACTCACAGAGATCTGCCTGCCTCCGCTTCCTAGGTGCTGGGATTAAGGTGTGTATCGTCACACAAGGCCAGGACCTTAATTTTTTTTTTTTTTTAAGATATTTAAAAGTTCAGCTTGAAGACCACAGAGGCAAAACATAGGACTGGGTCCAGACTGACAGACAATAATTTGAATGGATCACAACAAGCATTGGGTCCCTGCTGAGCTGAAAACCAGGGACAGTGAGAGTTTACCACCCATGTCATGTCCTGCCCCAATCTTTTTTATGACAACAGGTTTATTGGCAAATATGCACACACACACACACACACACACACACACACACACGCACGCACACACGTGTGCGCACACACACACTAACAACAAAAACACACAGGTTTACTACATACACTAAAGGGGCAGTAGGTTGTGCAATAACATCTTCCTGTTGGTCCCCTTGATACTCATATACCAAGCCGACAGTCAGATGCCAGGAGGGTGGGTGGGTCTCTTACTCACCCAGTATTTTGTAGGCAGAGTTTTCCTATCCCTACAACCTGTTCCCAAATACCCGTCAGCACTTCCCAAATAATTGACTCAGAGGCTTAATATAAATTATAAATGCTCGGTCGATAGCCCAGGCTTGATACTAGCTAACTTGTTTTTCCTTTATTTTTAAAAATAATTTATTTAAATTAAAAACAATCGTATTTTATATACCAATCCCAGTTCTCTCTCGCTCCCTCCCCCCACCAACTCCCCATCCACTCCTCAGAGAGGGTGAGACCTCCTATGGCAAATCATCAAAGTCTGTCACATCATTTGGGGCAGGACCGAGGCCCTCCCCACTGTATCTAGGCTGAGAGAGTGTCCCTCCATAGGGAATGGGCTCCAAAAAGCCATTTCATCCACCAGGGATAAGTACTGGTTCCACTGCCAGAGGTCCCATAGACTGCCCAAGTCCAACGGACACCCAGGTCAGGAGGCCTACTTCAGTCTTATGCAGATTCCTCAGTCTTCCATCCGACGTGAGGTAACCCAACCACAGAAAGACAAACATGGTGTGTATTCCCTCTTAAGTGAATATTAGACATAGAGCCTATAATCCACAACCCCAGAGGAGCTAGGGAACAAGTAGGACCCTAAGAGAGACATACATGGACCCCACCACCACCAAGAAGAGGAAAGGGACAAAGATATCCTGAGTAAATTAGGAGCGTGGGGGGGATGAGGAAAAGGAGGAGGGAGAAAGGGAGGCAGGAGAAGAACATGAGGGATCAGGAAGGCCAAGTTGGGGGAAGAACAGAAGAGAGCAAAAAAAGAAAACTGGAATCCCAGCACTCAGGAGGCAGAGGCAGGGGTGGATCTCTGTGAGTTCAAGGCCAGCCTGAGCTAGTTCCAGGACAGCTTCCAAAGCCACAGAGAAACCCTGTCTCAAAAAAGAAAGAAAAGAAATACTCTGACCACAACAACTTGGGGAGGAAAGTGTTTATTTGGCTTATACTTCCTTATCACCATTCATAATCTGTAAGACCCTCAGAATGAGGAGTCTTCCAGGTTCGGTCGATACCCCAAGAACTCAATGTCCAGTCCAGTTGCTGCAAAACGCAAGAGGCTTTAATGAACAGGAAACAAATGGGCTCCTCCAGCATGCAGGCTAGAGAGAAGCCCCCTCCCCTGGGCCCAGGTGTTTTTAAAGGCAAACCCACAAGCTTAGGGAGGGGGTGGGACCCTCTGTCCATTGAGTACGTGACCCTTGGAGGCCGGATGGTCTGCTATTAGGGTCAACAGACCTTAGGGCCTCAGGGTGTGCTAATTAATTTTGTCTGGGCAAACCAGAGTTGCAGCTTTCTCTTTGTTTCCCAAGGACCCTATTTACCACCTGTTGACTCACAGGAAAGGAGGGGCAGTGTGAATTCTTCTTATCTCAGGGCCTGGTGAGAGGAAGTTAGCAAATTCCAAGGAAGAGATAATTGGTTTCCAGGTCAGTCCATCATTAACATTACATTTTTTGGTCTTTCAAATCAAAGTCCATCAGGGTGGGAACTCAAGCAAGACTGGAACTTGGAGGCAGGAGCTGATACAGAGGCCATGGAGGAAGGCCACTTACTGGTTTTCTTCCCATGACCTGCTCAGCCTGCTTTTTTGTTTGTTTTGTTTTGTGAGACATGGTTCTCTGTGTAACTGAACACACCCCCCCCCCCCCAGAGATATACCTACCTCTGTGAGAGCCAAAGTTATATGCCTAAGAGAACCATGAAACAAAAATGCAAGCTGAGGGGTTGGAGAGATGGCTCAGAGGTTAGGAACGTTGGCTACTCTTCCAGAGGTCCTGAGTTCAATTCCCAGCACCCACATGGTGGCTCACAACCATCTGTAATGAGATCTGGTGCCCTCTTCTGACCTGCAGAGATACATGTAGGAAGAACGATGTATATATAATAAAGAAATCTTTAAAATGCAAGCTGAATTGCCCAAGGACAGATAGTTCCTGAAATGCTAGAGGCTACTGTTTATAGGAGATAAGACACATGTGTTCACTCCCCTAAACAAGTTTGACTCATCTACACCAGATGTGCTCAACCACACGTGAGCAGGAGGTTCCCAGGCAGGAGATACAGAACGATGGTTTAACCCCTGCTAGGACCTGATGGGAAATGCAATGAATTGTGGGTTTTCCTTCTTAAGCTGCTGCAAACTGTGATTGTGGGCCATTTCCTAGGAAACAGGGTATGGACCTGGCCATAACCCATCCACCAGTATGTAGTTAAAGCTTGCTTCAAATTTAACTTTAACTGTGGTAATGGGCTTATTCTCCATCGATGACATTAACACCTCTGCCTCCCAAGTGCTGGGATTAAAGGTATCTGCTCAGCCTGCTTTCTTATAGAATACAGAACCACCAGCCCAGCGATGGCACCACTCAAAATGGGTTTCCCCTTCCCCATTGATCACTAATTTAGAAAATACCTTACAGCTGGTTCTTATGGAGGCATTTTCTCAGTTAAGGCTCCCTCCTCTCTGATGACTCTTCCTTGTGTCACAAGGGTTAAATAAGCAAATTCCAACCTTCATAGTTGGATCAACATAGTTGAAGAGATAGTGCACCTTCCTGCTAGGGGGCTGATTTTATCACACCTACTTCCATTCAGCCAATAACCATAACAGTAGTAGTTCTGGTTTGACTAGACCCTCCTTTTAAAAGCCAGTGGGGCTGGGAGGGGGGGTGTCGGTGGTGGCAAACACCTTTAATCCCAGCACTGGAGAGACAGGCCAGCCTGGTCTACCAAGCGTGTTCCAGGACAGGTTCCAAAGCCACAGAGAAATCCTGTCTCAAAAAAAGCAAACCAAGAGCCAACTGTCCTTGACCCCAATTCTAGATCAGGCAGGGCCACCACAGACCTGGGGCTTCCAGCCCATAAGGCATTGGTCACTGGCACAGGCATCGGTGAGGGGCAGACAAGGCACAGCAGCAGACTCCAGCAGGAAATCAGTGTCACAATCCACAGCTGGCCCTTGCAATACAGAGACTTCTCCCATGCACCAGGTGTGACTTTTAAGGTTTGGGATACTGCGGTCATTTATTTAGTCAAATTAGCTTAGCTCATCTGGTATGAAAGTCTAAAGTTGGGGATGGATGTGGGTGGGTCTACAGGAGGAGAACAGAAACTGTTGGGCTGGGTGGAAGGCAGGGTCTTGATGTGAGTGGAGCCAGGGAGGCCTCCAGGGGTCCCCTGCATCTGGGCAGCCTAGGAGGCCAGGTAACCAGCGTCCACCAGGATGCTAGAGCCGCTGGTAGAGGCGCTGCTGTCGCTGAGCAGGAAGAGGATGCTGTTGACCACGTCCTCCACCTCTGCAGGACAGCAGAGCAGTCAGGGCTTCTGCCTGCTCAGCTGCCAGAGCCTCCCCAATTCCCTCACCCGCATCCCCAGCTGACCTGCAAACCTCCTCAGTGGGTGGCGCTCCTTGAGCTTCTTGGCAAAGCCCGGGTCTGCAGAGACTTTCTTGCCCATGTCAGTCAGCACCACGGTAGGGTTTACAGAGTTCACCCGGATCTGGGGACCCCCAGAAGCCACAGCAGGTGGGTGGCACAGCCAGTTAACTAGCACTACCCACACAGCTCAGGACTTGCCCTAGGACAAGCCTGATGAGCTCAGAGCATGGCCAAGCCACACCCCATCCTCACCCTCACCCCCAGCCCTGCCCCATCACCAGGTGTCCATCATCTGTCCCTCAGGTGTGGGCCCAGGCCCCCCGTGCCTACCTTGTGTGGCCCGAGTTCCATGGCCATGGCTTTGGTCAGCATGGTTAGTGCACCTTTGGTGGAGCCTGTGGGGGTGAGGCGTGCTGAGGACCCCCTAATTACTCAGCCCCCCTTCTGGGAGACCCACCCAGAACCTCCTCCTCCTCCCACAATGAAGGGTGCACTCACTGTATGTGGCCAGGCCAGGGAAGGTGACATAGGCCACCATGCTGGAGATGTTGACGATGGACCCTGCCACTCCACGGTTAATCATGCCTTTGGCTACCATCTGGAAGCCAAGCGTTAGGGGCGGCTCACTGTGCCCTATGCCGTCTGCCCTCCCCAGGTGCCCTCCCTGGGCACAGCCCCCCCCCCACCGGCTCACCTGGGACACTTGCAACACAGAGCGCACATTCACATTGAAGGACCTGGCAGGAGAGGGACAATGTGGCCCGGCAGCAGCGCCCCCAGCCACGCCCCCAGCCTGCCCACTCTCCCCAGCGCCCACCTGTCAAAGACCTCCTTGGTAGACTCCATGAAGGGCTGAATCAGCGCCACCCCCGCATTGTTCACCAGCAGGTCCACAGGGCCGATAGCGCCCAGCGCCTTCTCTGTGGCCTCCCAGTCTCCCAGGTCCACGCACACAGGCTCTATCCCCGGACACTGGGGGAGAGAGGCACGGGTGGCCTGAGCGAGGCGCTGTCCCACCAAGCTTCTGATGTGCCCCTGAGGGTGGGGAGCAGGCCCAGGCCTTGGCAGGGCTGTGTGCCTCACCTCCTTAGCAAGGCTGACCAGGTCTGCGTTGGTGCGTGTCACGGCCACCACTTTGGCTCCTGAGGCATGCAGGGCCTTCACAGTGTCACGCCCAATCCCTATAGAGAGGGAACATGGTGGGATTGGCCCTGTGGGCCTGGTCACAGCCGGGCTCTGGGTCCCAGGAGGGAGTAAAGGCTGTTGCCCCCATGTCTCCACAGCCAGCAGTGAGAGGGTGCTGGCCTGAACGTGATAAGCCAGGATTAGATGGGACTATCCCTGGAGACTCTGACTCACTGGTACCAGGCCAAAGGAGGCACCAGAGGGCAGCACCCTCCTGATGGGGCCCCAGACAGGGTGACACTGGTGCCCATCTGCCCTGCCTGGAGGATCTAGGGCTGTCTTGGAGCCACGCTGAACGTGTGCTTCAGGGTGTGGCACTGGGGTGGCCAGGGAGAGACTGGCATTCTGTCCTGGTGGGCGGTGGGGCTCCAGCCGGGTGACAGAAGCATTTGAGCCCTGGGTGAAGTGGGAGTCGGGGTCTATGGGGGCTGAGCTGTGACAAGGTCACCTTGGGCCCCTATTCTGTGTTGAGGCTGGCCCCCTTCCTCTCCCCAACCTGTGCTGTCTCCCCAACCTGCTCACACTCACCTTTCCCTGCCCCTGTCACCAGGGCCCTCAGGCCACTGAAATTCAGGTTCATGTTGCCGAGACCAGTGTCCTCCTGCAGCAGGGGGAGGGGCTGAGGTAGTTAAGGTTGGACTGGCAGGTGGGGCAGGGCTGGAGCTAGGGGCAGGTGACCTGTTCCCTGTGGGACTTGAAGAAGTAATGAAAAGGAGTGTGTGCACATGTGTAGAGGGCCTGACAAACAGTGGGAAGAGTACACACACACACTCTCTCATACACTCTCACACTCACGCACACACACGCACACATTCACAGACACACACTCACACTCATGCACTCACACACATATACACACATACACACACAGTCATACACTCACACACACATGCATACACACACTCATACACAAACACACACACATTTCACACACTCATACACATACATAGACATTCACACACACACTCATACAATGCACTCACACACACATACATACAATCACACACACACATTCACACACATACCCTCACACATTCATGCACTCACACACACATACTCACACGTTCATATACACACACTCACACAACACACTCACATATACACTAGTGCACACACTCACACATATTCATGTGTTCATACTCATACACACACTCACATGCACACATACTCACTCATACACAACACATACACACACACTCACACGCATACAACACTCACACTCACACACTCACACATGCTCATACACTCACATGCTCATACACTCACACATACTCACACACATACACACACATACTCACACACTCACACACTCACACACATACTCACACTCACACACACTCACACATGCTCATACACTCACACATACTCACTCACACGCACACACACACATGCTCATACACTCACACATACACTCACACACATACAGAAACACATACTCACACACACACTCACACATGCTCATACACTCACACACACTCACACTCACACACACACCCTGAGCCTGTGAGAGGATCTGACACAGCAGTGTAATGAGAAGAGGTGGCAGCCTGGGAACAGAATTTGCGTTCTCCGCATTCCAGTACTGAGTCTTGAATTCAGGGCCTCAGAACATGCTAGGTCAGTGATGCACCACTGAGCCACACCCTTAGCCTAGGGTAGTGAAAATTCTGGATCTGGGGTCAGCCTTGTCTGGACAGAAGCACAGGTTGTAACTTTTTATTTCATTATTATAAATGAGGGTATTGACCTGATCTGAGTGGAGTAACTGACCTTGCTTGGAGCAAGACCCTGGGTACAGACCCCAAATGTCCAGGGACCTAAGGGCCCCATTGTGCATGCAGTCTGTCCAGTGAGTAAGATGCTGTCCCCCTTACCTGTCCCTCCCCGGTGCCTCTCACCTGCTGCCCTTACCAGCCTGGGACCCCGCCCTTGGTGACTACCCTTCTGTCCTCTGAGGAAGGACTCCTGTAAACCCAAACATGGATTCTGGGGTTTCCTGTCCCAGTAGTGACCCCTGACTCCCTCTGTGTGTCTCTGCCTCTTCGACAGGTGGCTCTTTGGGGGCTCTTTGAAGAATCAGAGGATTTACTGTTCATCTCAATTCTACCTCTGGCAATTTGTCTAAGGGTGTGCTGGGGCGCTCCTATCTTGTGTACCAGGGTTAATGGAACAAACCCATCTGCCCAGGAGGTCATGGCAGGTCCCATGGCATCTGCACCAGGCAGGAGGCTCAGGCGCACAGACTGTCCCAGTGACAGCCCCGGGGAACAGGTGTGCTGATATTCTTGCCTGTTGCCTTTCTCTTCCTCAACCCAGGCTCGGCACCGAGGCTGTGACTCTCTGAAAGACAGCAGCTGTATTTCAGGTGCCCTAAGTGCCCTGAGACATGGGAGGTCCGTGGTATGAAGCCCCAGGAGGGTGGGGGACTCTGTGATTGTCCTGGAGCTTGGGGGGACAGCAGATACAGTGAGAGACTGGGGATCAGCCCCATACCAGAGCCTGTCCTTTGGCACACACAGGTTGACACCTAATGATCTGCCGCTGCCTGGTAGAGTTTCTTCATTCAAGGACAGATCATACCTACTCACTGTGTCTTTGATCCCAGCCCAAGCAAGCCACCTGAATCCTACAGCCTACCTCCAGGAGGTACTGAATGCTGAGTGAGATCTGGCCTGGTAACCAGTAAGATCCAAGCCCTTCCCATTCTATGATGAAAGCACTTGATTGTGACCAACCTTCCACCCTGGGGAAAAGGCCTTTCGGGGATGTGTTGTTGGTCTCCACTGCTGGCCAGCTGGGCACCCGGCAATGGTTTAATTTACCAAGCAGGACGCAGGCAGTAAGAATCCATGCCTCTGAGCCTATCTCTACAGCCACTGCTGTGAGCTGTGGAGAATGGCTGATGCCCACAGGAAGGGAGCATCACCCCCTGGGATTTGCGACTGCAACCCTCAGCTAGCCTACCTCTCTGGGGAGCATTTCTCCAGGGTGAAGATATCTTCTCTCTCCATAGCTTTTGCCTTACCTCATGTCACCTGGGTGGTCTGAAGATTTCTCAACCCAGAGCCACATGCGGAGCCCTAACTCCCCAATTATGTGAGAAAGTGTTGTAAAACAGTTTTCCTAAAACATTCCACCCTGCAGGGAAGCTCCTTAAGTAGAAAGGTAAACAACTCAAAACAGCTTCAGGAAGTCCCTGAAGCTGACCTGTTTTACTAAGCCCCTCCCTGCCAGAGTAACCAAAAAAAAAAAAAAAAAAAAAAAAAAAAAAAAAAATGCTGAGAGTCACTTTCCTGCAAACCCAGCAGCCCAGCAGCAAAGGCGGCTCTGAAGCCAGACCACCTCTCTGGAAGAAGCAAAATTGGCTGAGCTGCCTGGAAGAGGTAAAGACCAACTGAGTCACTTGGAGAGGACACTCTCCCACCTGTGGAGCTGGCTGCCCGCTGTGCAGTGTGCTCCAGGTTCCCAGCTTTTGTGAGCCTGTCACCAGAGCTCAGCTGGGTCTTTGAGTCCCTGCTGCTCCTCACCCATATCTCTGTAAATAACTCCAGTAAAACTGAGGGCTCACCAAACTGGACTTTGTTGGTATCTCTACATTGATTGGTCTGCTGTGGAGCTTCCTGTCTGGAGTGAGTGGACATGTGTGTTGTGTCTCCCCAGGGGGGAAAAAAAATCTCATTGAACCACAGGAGGAAAAGCCTTTGGGAGGAGAGTAGGGAAAACTGGCTTTGGCCTCTGGCTCCTATGAGTGCACACGTGTGTACATCTGCAATCAAACACTGTCACACCTGAAGACAACCACCACCCCCAGCAGTGGGGGCTTCCCCTACATTAGGCACAAACCACATCCAAACTGTCACAGAGAGAGCCTTTATTAAGAAAAGTTAAAGTGGCTGCTTCCAGACTCAGGCAGAAAACAGCAGCAAATGAGCATGCAGGTGTCTTTTTTTATTTCTATTTATATATTTATTTATTTGTCCTGAGTGCTGGGATTAAAGGCCTGTGCCACCCTCACCCTTCCACAGGTGTTTTGTTTTATGTACCCAGTGTTCTGACATCACGTGTGCCTGCACACCAGAAGAGGGCACCAGATCTCCTTACAGATGGCTGTGATCCAGCATGTGGTTGCTGGGAATTGAACTCAGGACCTCTGGAAGAGCAGCCAGTGCTCTTAACCTCTGAGCCGTCTCTCCAGCCCCACAGGTGTCATTTTTAAGAGGAGGAGAAGGGAAGGACTGTGTTATAATGGGCTGGGATGCAGTGGTAGAGGAAATGTGGACAAGTGACCAGGGGGAGAGCAAGAGAAAGAGGCATTTGTCACCAAGGGATAAAGGACAAGGGGAAATATAAGGAGTAAGGTTTTTCCTGCCAGCTGCCGGCCTGGTCCCACCGCCGCGCCAGCCCCAATTAACACATAGAGACTCTGTATTTGATATAATGTTGTTGGCCTGTTACTTGTTTCTTATCGGCTAGCTCTGTCTTAAGTATTAACCCATTTCTGCTATTCTATGTATTTACACATGGTCTTCTTACTGGAGAGCAGGGGCTGGCAGTTCTGGTCTCCCCAGACTCTCCATCTTGACTCCTCCTTACTACTTCCTCTTTCCTCCTTGTCTCCTAGTCCCTCCTATCTTCCTTTCCTATTGGCCAACAGTGCTTTATTTATTAACCAGTATGAGAAACATATTTACATAATGACATCTCCCATCAGGGAAGAGGGTATCTGTCACAGAGGGACAAAGGGCTGTCTCTGGATAGAGAGGAGACAGGCATGGCACATAGGCAAATGTCGGTTTATAAAAGTAAAGGGGAAAACCTGTGTTAGGATGAGGCGTTTAATTGTAATTAGGCATGTTAATTAGGTGGTCCTAAGGGGGCTTTTGATTGGGGGACTTTGGTAGTCAGCCTCAGGAGAGGGTGATCAAATAAGGGAATAGACCTTGGAGGCTAGCTTTAGGAATGTAATCTAACAGATTTTATCCAGGCAGAGGGAATGGGGGAGGAGGCCAAGGCCTGCCAGAGGCACATGCTCAAGCGGGCTAGTGTCCCTTCAATGCCCACACAGATAGATACAGACTTAAAAACCCAGTGGACCAGAGTATGGTGGTTCCCAGCTATAATTCCAGCCCTTAGGAGACAGAACTGTTGTGGGATAATCTTTTGAACACTGTGAAGATGTGTCGTTGTTATAGGTTTAACAAAAAGCTGAATGGTCAATAGCTAGTCAGCAGGGAATAGAAAGGATTTCCAAGAAGAGACAGGGAGAGAAGGTGAAATCTAGGCGCAGGGATTTTGCCAGCAGACTTGGAGTAAATCGGTCGTGCCGTACCGAGGAAAGGTAAAAGCCACATAGACTGATGGGAACACATTAATTGCAGTTATAAGAGCTATTTGGAGACAAGCCTGGTCTATGTTGTGAGCAACAGGCCAGCCAGAGCTACCTAGCAGTATTTGGATGCTTGTTTGTGAAGGGCTAGGAGGTGTGGCCTCACTAGAGGAGGTGTGTCACTGGGGGTGGGCTTTGAGGTTTCCAAAGCCCACCTCATTCTCTGTTGGCTCTTCCTCTGCCTTCTGCTTGTGAATCATACTAAGTTATCAG